TTGGATGGGGTCTGCAGACGAACAGGAGTTGCCAGAGATGTCTCACTGAGATTCCAGCAAACTGACGAGTCGGTAGGACATGTATTACGTTCAGTATCCTCAGGAGAACATCTTCGCACCTGTACTGCTGACGGCGACTTTGTTGAGGTATTGGACGCGAAGGAGGCGGGTGGATGGACCAGAGGGTGGCAAGAGTTGGAGTAAGCTGTGGAATTGTTCTTCGGCTGGTGTCTGGGACGACGTCGAGGAGGAGAAAGCTTCGAATCAGGATCCAATAAATGAGTTAAGATTGGTGGCATGATTTGATTATCACATCTCCTTTCGACTCTTCTGTAGGTTGCCAGCCTGAAAGCCAAGGAAATGCGTATACCGACGCGTCATGACAATTTTAGTAAAATACTGTAGCGTATGAATGCGCATCAGAACGTTTTATATTCCGTCAGTGTAAGATGGTTAAACCCCGCATCCTCCTGCTTTATAAACTACATAAGGTGTCCACTTTGACCTGACCTCATCGTAGAACCTGAGTTTCTGGTCTGCGTTAAAGATAAAGACGAAGACTTCCTCGTCCTCTGAGAATGTCCACACCGGCTAATGGCCTACGTTTCTATACATAATTTTGCCCCGCATTGCGCATCTATCACAAAAGGGCAAGTTTCTTAAATAATTTGTGTTGGAAGACCGCGCATATTCTTACGGAAATATGTTAAGAGAAGGCAGGAAATTGAATAAAGATACTAGGATCAACTCCAAAATGAATGAACACTGGTGCAATAGATTCTTTTCCTGACAGTATTCACTAAGGAAATGATAATATTTATGCCAGATATTGAATAATCGCGGTAAACCTCACCAGAGCATTGCATTTCGAAATTTACCCTAAAACAGATAGCGAAAGCTCCAGCAGGTGAAAAGGAAAAGTTTTAGAAATCTTGTATGCGTTTACCAAAATTTCTACGGCCAGAAGAGAGTGCTCTCCTATACCGTATGGTTGACTAAGGCTAACTTATAGGTCAAAACCTACGCAAGAAAGATTTAGTGTATTCTGCATCCAATGTAAAGGTAAAAGTGTTATCGCATAAACAGCAACAATGGATGGGAATGGAAATAAGAATAACCAGAGACTTACCACATTTGAAAATAGGCATCCCGAGAAATATAAATTGATGGAGAAATTCTTCGGG